AGAACAGCCTGGCTAATATGGTGAAACTCCGTTTCTACTAAAAATACAAAAAATAGTCTGGGCATGGTGGCAAGTGCCTGTAATCCCAGCTACTCAGGAGGCTGAGGCAGGAGAATCACTTGAACCTGGGAGGCGGAAGTTGCAGTGAGCTGAGATTGCACCACTGCACTTCAGCCTGGGCGACAGAACGAGACTCTGTCAAAAAAAAAAAAAAAAAAGCCAAAAAACTATGATAAATCATCCTCAATCCAGATATAAATGTATTTTTTAAAAGTGTTAGGAAAAATATTAGGTACCTCAAACACATTTTGTTTTCATTAATGAAACAAAATAGGCTTTAGTAAGAATACTTAAGAATACTGCTGCTTATTTATGTCTATGGACACTAAAGATTTAAACAAAACCTTGCCAAAATGATTATTACACAATAACCAACTTCAGCAGCTAAAAGATTTTTGTGATTTATTAAATCCAGAATCCTAACACAAAATTCCTTCTAGAACATTTTACTGAAAAATTTCCCTAAATTACAACTGTCTGTAGTTCAACTAGATAGATACATTACTGATGTGCTAGCAGAAGTTGCATATGCTGTTTAATGAATCAAGAACAATCTAGAAGCTGGTAATGCTGAGAAATTGTTCTCCTACTATAAGGTTAAACTTTGAAAACAGAACAGGTAAATATTAATAAACGTATAGGATTGGTTGTATTTTTTACTACCTCATATTTATTCTTGTATCACGTAAGTTCATTCTATGCTGGTGATATTCTGCTTCAGCCAAATATTGATTTTAGCGAAACTGTTTGTTCAACACACCTAGTTTTTTTCTTGTTTCTCTAATCACTTCCCTTGTTTCCTCAATCACTTCTATTTCTGCCAATAATAAAGCAGGTAAAATGTTGAAGTCATGCTTTCTATTGGTATGCCTTTAAGAAAACTTTAGAATTGAGCAAGTAAAAATCATATGTAGTTTTTAAAGAGTAGAAGGTGCCATCAACTGATCCTTCATTTTCTCACACATGATTATCAAGCCCTATATTCCAGGTCTGTATTTTCTTCCACGTAGGCCTGGAGTGAAGTCAGAAACAAATCACATGCTGTTGCCATAGATAATTTGTTACCATAGATTAAGTAGTGTTATTTCACAACTCTGACCACTCTGAAGTCTAAATGTTATACGGTGACCAAGAACAAACACATACCTTGCTCGGTATATATATGTCATTCCGCAGGGAGAGAAAAGAAGTGTATGGAAACACAAGATACTTGGAATGGCTTTGTGATTCCAACCAACTTTCAATTCCTATTCATCTTCTTAGAAAGCCCAAGGGAGTGTAAAAGTTCATGAGACTTGGAGTTACAATCTGGTTCAAATTATTCTTCCATCACTTACCAGCTGTGGCTATTATATTTCCTTGTGCAATGGAGATAAAATGCCCACCTTCAAAGGGTTGGGGAGAGGATAAATACATGAGAATTTACACAAAACACCTAGCAACGAATACAATAAATTGCTCTATAAGTACAATATTATCTTCAGGAAGTACATTTCACAATTTTCTAGCATGTTGCCAGATACGCAATCCTGAGATTACTAGTTAAATGGTTTAAAAAATGTAAAATGTCAAAATTCTTGAAGTCTCCCAGCTGAAAACTGAGGGGAAAAAAAATGCACTGAGAACCAGAGTATTAATCATCATAAACTAATTAGGTTAAAGCCTGAGAAAGCTACCAACCATGCCTCCTCAAATAATTCTATGAATAAATCCAAATACAACCTAAAGACAGGCTGTGAAAATAGCGACTAACTATATGGGCCTTGGACAAGCTGCTTTAGCCTACCTGAGGTTTGCTGAGAGGTTTTAAATGAAAACACACGTAAAGCACCAAGGTAGTACTGTGCATAATACAAAGCAGGTATTCAATATTCAATAAATGTTAGTGTCTTCCCCCATTCTCTAGTTTCCACTCAGTTCTACAACCTTATCTTTACCAAGACACAAAGACCTAGATCACACAGTGACAAAGGAGGTCAGATACGAAGGGATGGACAGACTGATGAATGGGACTTTGGCCAGATGTCAAGTTATCCCAAATTCTGCCTCTCCGGTTATTATTTTTAAGATAAGTCTGTATATTTGTTTCATCTTTTGCTTTACTATGCAAAAGCAAAGTCTCCAAACTTGTTTTGCACCAGATGGGCTACTGAGGACTCAACTTGTCAAGTACTTGAATCTAAAAGGGCAAAATTACTATGTTGGCAGAACATCTTGCTCAATAGCACTTGGTTCCATTGTGAAATATGTATTCTTGAGCAGTTACTCTACCACCTAACCCTACACCTAGGTTTCAAGTGTAAGTGTCTTATAAGAAGGACTTGAGAACTTACAGGCACAAACCCTTTGAGAGGGGCCAACAGTGCCTACTACAGTAAATCATGACTGAGTAACTAGTGCTTGTCAGGTTGGGTCTGTGTTCATCATTCACATGTGTTCTCTCAATCTGGATAGATCGGTGGACTTTAGGTTCCGTTACTTTGCAATCTTGTGAACCAAGACCTTGGGCAAGTCACTTTACCTCTCTGGCCTCAATTATAAAACAGAGATGGCCAGGTGCAGTGGCTCACGTCTGTAATCTCAGCACTTTGGGAGGCCAAGGTGGGTGAATCACCTGGGGTCAGGAATTCGAGACAAGCCTTGCCAACATGGTGAAACCCCGTCTCTACTAAAAATTCAAAAATAAGCCGGGCATGGTGGTGTGTGCCTGTAATCCCAGCTACTCGGGAGGCTGAGGCAGGAGAATCGCTTGAACCTGGGAGGCAGAGGCTGCAGTGAGCCGGGATCATGCCACTGCACTCCAGCCTGGGTGACAGCGATAGTCAATCTCAATCTATCAATCAATCAATCAGAGATGACAATACTTACCCTATGTAAAATGGTAGCTTGAATATAATCAACCATACTTTAAAAGTCATATAATGGGTAATATAAATGTATAGTTATTATAAGAACCTTGTTTTCCTCAAAAAACACATAGACTGGAAACCATAAACAGATGAGAAACCATAAACAGATAAACTGTTTCTAGGGCAGTATAGGCATTCAATAAATGAAGATTTGTTCAGCTGATACTAAAAATAAGATGACATTTATGAGGACAAGTATGTTTAAACTGGCTCTTATGGCAATTGAAATATTTCAACACTTGTATGCCACCACTCCAGAGCTGAAATTCTTAAAAGAAATACTCTTCTTATAAGGGTGGAAGGATTGTAAATGATTCTTTTTTTTTTTTTTTTTTTTTTTTGAGGCGGAGTCTCGCTCTGCCGCCCAGGTTGGAGTGCCGTGGCCGGATCTCAGCTCACTGCAAGCTCCGCCTCCTGGGTTCACGCCATTCTCCGGCCTCAGCCTCCCGGAGGCTGGGACTACAGGCGCCCGCCACCTCGCCCGGCTAGTTTTTTGTATTTTTAGTAGAGACGGGGTTTCACCGTGTTAAGCCAGGATGGTCTCGATCTCCTGACCTCGTGATCCGCCCGTCTCGGCCTCCCAAAGTGCTGGGATTACAGGCTTGAGCCACCGCGCCCGGCCGTAAATGATTCTTTATCCATCTAGAATTCCTTGCTCCATTAATCTACAGGCATCAACATCACAGCATGTATCAGAGGGCCAAACTGATTTTATTTAAAGTAGTATCTATTATACTAGGGAATAATTTCCAACTTATATCAACTAGGGATAGTCAAATGATGCTTAAAATACTACAAGATTCTGGTAAAATTTCCCTGAGGTATGAAAAACTGACATAGGCATTAGAAGGAAAAGAAAATTAAAGAAAAGGAAATGGGGGTAACATTTATGTCAATCACTGAATTATGCTCTCTACATGAATTCTTTGATTTATTTCTCAAAGTAACCCATTGAAGATAGTCCTCTTCTTCTTGTGAGACCAAAAAAAAAAAAAAAAAAAAAAAATGCACTGAGGTTTGCAGAGGTTAAGTGAATTACCCAAGATAAATAATGCAGTTTCATAGAAGTAGACCCTGGATTCAAAACCAGCCAGTCTAACCACAATTCTCCAATCTCTCTACTAACTTTAATTCACAGAGAACTACAAGAAATATTACAAAACAAGGTATCTGGTAGACCAATCAACTGGAATTTGAGTTTCATTGATCAATTAACTCTAATTTTACTGATGTCATTATTATTATTAATATATAATTATAAGAAACGTTCAGAGTATCTTAGAGTTTAACAAAGTATTTGCACAAATCTTTTTTTAGTTTAAATAACCTTGTGATGTAGGCAGAACAGGTATTATCCTTAAGAGAGGGGAAACATGAGACTCAGTGGATAGGTGACATTTTCCAAGTCACACTAATTACTAAGTAGGCAGGCTTAGATTTTAATTAAGCTTTTAATCCATAAGCAATTCTACCATACTATACTACCATCTTTCTCCA